TTAATTTGCATTGAGTTTTATTTATTTGTTTTATATTTTTCTCTTGTTTTAGTTCTTCAGTTCATTAGATACAAGAGAAATCTACAAAGAGTTGATGGAACACCTTCCTGACCTGGAAATGCTTTCTACAGAGTCCTTAAAGGTAAACCGAGGCTCCATGGCTGCTACTGGGAGGTGCTCCACTTATGCTGGTCTGATTTTTGGCCAGTCACCGGTGTGTTTTGCTGTGCCAGAAAAAGACAAGTAGCCATGATTGGTAGTATCCTCTGAGCTGCCATTTGTAAATAGTGTTTGGGGGCTACAAGAGGTAAAATCACTAATTGTCTGCAGAGGGAAGCATACAGTTAGTTTTTTTTTATATTTGCTTGGAGAGGGAAACCTCTTTAAAATAAACCTGGCACTTGGCCATTCAGGGTAGTGGCGTTATTGTACAACAAAAATCTCAAGATGAAAACTGCACATGATCAAACAAAAACCTGTTCTTTGATCAATGAAAATCAGCCAGTTAGTGGTGCTTACTAACGTTAATTGTGAACTACATTGGTCTGTGCATGATGGGCTAATTGTACGGAAATTGAAGGAGGGTGAGATGTCTGGACAAAAAAAAGTTGTACAATGGTTATAAGGTGTATGGCCACCTTTTAGGAGTGTGTATTATCTTTGAACACTGCCTCATTGTGATAGGAGCTTACATTCTCCCCTTTTTCTTAAGGACAGGTTAACCTATCACCGTTGGCTTGTGTTCTTTAGCTATGGAAAGGATGAACAGTTCTACCAGCCTGTATTTAAGAAGCTGGCAGTAATACTCCGTGATGACCATATTCAGGTAAACAATAACCAGAGGCACGCTCATTTATTATCTGCTAACAGTTGTGCAAGTGTAATTACGCTATTATTTGTATTTTTTTCTTTCTCCTGAAAGGTGGGACGATTTGACTGCCAGTCCAGCCCAACAACCTGCAAGTCTTTATATATTAACAAGCCTTGTGTGGTAGCATTTAAGGGGAAAGGCATTGATGAATTTGAATTTCACCATGGTAAGAACCTGGGGTAATGGCTTTCCCATCAGAATGAATTCCTGGTGGTACCATCGTGAATAGGAGGAATTAAAGTGAATTTAAAATAACAAAACACATTTGCTGTACATCTCTGCGATACATCCTTGTCCAATGTTTTATCCTTTTAAAAGTACAGAAAAATACTTGTCAATCTACCAGAAGTGCTCCTAAGTCTTGTTGTAGGCTAATGACACACAGGACTTTTGTGGACTAAGTAGTGTCAGCCTCTTTATTAAAGGAGAACTATGGGGTCAGTGTTTTTCCCCATAGTTCTCCTTGGGGTAACGGGAGGACACAAACTAGCGTCCTCCCGTTACCCTAAGCTCAGTATACCGCGAGCTACAGCTGGCGGTATACTGAGATGCCGCACCTGGAGCGGATCCCGACTTAGATGACAGGATCCGCCCAGCTGCGTGAGTGACAGCTGGCTCTGCCTATCTAGAGGCAGAGCCAGCTGTACCCGCCCCCTCCCCCGTCCGTTCTGCCAGTCAGCGCTGGCGGAGCGGGGAGAGGGGAATCCAGCCCCTCCCCCTGTCACGGCAGAGAGCCGTGACAGGATCGAGAGGTGAGGGAACCCGGTATGTTTTCCCTCACCTCCCGATCTACTGAGCCGACCTGTGACAGTCTCATTGTCACAGGTCGGCTTAGAACTATGAGGTGAGTGGAAATCACTCATGTCATAGTTCTCCTTTAAACAACTCAAGCCATCTCTATATCCTATTCTGCATAAAGACTAATTCAGTAGTCCTTAGTTAAGAACTAGGATGGCTAATTATGCTCCCTGAGAGAACACAGGAAGTGTGGAGAGGACATGGAACGGTTCTGAATTTCTGACATGATCCACAGGTATTTTTTGCATTTTTCAAACCGATTTCCATGATATATTTAACAGACTGGAAGGGAACAAATATGAGAAGTTAATTCTTAGGGTTTACATAACCATTAAAAAACAAATTTCCGTCTGCCTGGTATCCTAACTTGTGTTAGAACACGGTTCTGGCCTAATCCAGACCACCATTCTAAGGAGAGGGAGCATAGTTGGGTGGTGGGGGACCAAACTTCAGAGGGCAGCTTTTTTGTTGACGGCTTAACATTTGCTCAGACTTCAGTGAATTTTCCATTGCTGATGACTACTTTTAAAAATACTAGATGCTTGGAAATCGGGTTCCTGCAATGCTTCAATACTGATCCAAAACAAGACTGCAGATCAGGAGTCCTGACTTAATCCTGAACATGCCATCTGCATACTCGCTCCGGGCTAGTCATAATATTGAAGCCGGAGATGGCCAGTCAGCTAACATTTTTCAGAAGGTCGTCAATGGCAGTATGCATACTTTTCTATAGGTGTCCTTTTTAAGATGCCAAATACAAACTGAAACAATTAAACAGTCACCGGCATAAAAAAACCCATTACAGATTGATTGTAATTCCAGATTGTAACTGAATCTTCGCTTTTCCTAAGCAGGACAAAGCGACAGGTTTTACTTTAATGCCCCCTCCCCAGAAGCACTTAATACCTTTTTTCTTTTGCTCCTCTTCTGGGGCAAAGAAAGAAAGCACCAAGTCATTCCATTGGGAACGTACACAAGGCTGAGGACTGTCCTATATATGTGCTGCTGAAGGAGGAGAGTATGCCCTGCATACATAAACCACAGGTTTGCTTTTAAGCTGACTAAACACATTGCAGTCTGACTGTACAATATTAATAGGTATGCAAGACAAGGGCTTACCAGATAGGGTATAATTTAAATGGTACGTTTAGGCATTCTATTTTGCTACTAAGTTTTGGTAAATCTAAATGATATTGTACAGTTAAACTGTAATGGGTGTGGCTTCACTTGCACTAGGATACTTAGGGTCAGCAATGATAATGGCTACATTCATTCATGGCATGACAGTCTTTTACTAGCCCACTCCCTGACCCACTTATATTGAACTGGCCTTGTATTTCATTGAGAACTTTAAGTCTTGTAGTTTCTCCATTCACACATCTGACAAAAGGTCTGTGAATGGATAACTTGGCTGTGTGGGGGCAGAGCCTTGCACATCCGCACCAAATTCAGAAAACAGCAGCAGCCTGCGGGGAGAAGAACTCTGCGCTTCAGGTAAGTAGAGGGGGCGGAATGGGGCTGCCGATGTGAGTATGTTTCATGCTACACCCCGAATTTTGGTGTAATGTGAAACATGGTATAAAAGGTAAACATAGCCTTTAATGATGTTGTCTTCATCAGTACTGCATTCTAAGAGGAGGTTCTATGCTCCCCTATAACTGGAAGTATCCAGTATTTGCGACGGCTTAATGGAGGGACAGGGAGCACAGTGAAGGTGGGTCTGGGGTAGGCTAGGAAGAGACGCCTTTACATTATGTAGTCATCCCTAATAAGAGGTATAAATTATTATTTTTTTATTGTTTTGCATGAATACTTCAGGCATAATTGTGAAAAATATTTATTAAGCATTTTCATAATGATGCTCCATACTGCTCTTTAAGGTTATCCAGCCCAAAAGAAATATATATATATA